TTTGCAGGTTATAGAAATCTTGTAAATGACAAAATTGAAATTGAACGTTATATAGTCCTTGTGAAACAAAAAAACATAATACCTTTTTAAAGAAGTGGTCTAGTTTCATGAATTAATCCACGCAGTACGTAGTCACACTTTCAATTTGCAACGCTTAAATAATTCCAGTTTTGTGTATCGTGCTGTGACCAATACGGTGAGCTTGCAAGTGATGCTTGTAAGGAAGCAATATAGTGTATTGTACGTGAGTAATGTAACGTAACGTATTGCAAGTAGGTGATGATGTATGAACGTAATATAACAGATTGTAAGTGAGAAAGGTTATGTAACGTATTATAAGTAGGTAATGTCGTATATAGTAAGTGATGTTTGTAAGTAAGTAATATGGCGAAAGTAGGTAATGGAAAATACCATTTTGTAAGTCATAATAGTAAACTAGTAATGTAGCAAATTATAAGTAGATGTTAGTGCTCTGTTGCAAATTGTAGTATAAGTAATGTACTATAAATATGTAAATGTAATGTAATATATGCAGTGTAAATAAAAAAAAACATATAAAAACTACCTTTTTGAAAATAGCTAGTAATAGCTTCTGTGCGAAGCTCGGTAGTTCGCTAGTTTCACCTCTCTCAGTATGGTATAGATGATACCACAAGTGTGTGGTTATGTAAGTGGCCATCTAGCCCAACCTCTACCCTAATATCAGTACGGCACTGATGAGGCCCAGTACTATCTGCAGTTAGTAAGTAGGGATAGCTATGAAGAACAAAATAGGCGGAGTGTTTTGTACAAGTTGTCTCTGATCTTCTCACTGTGTTAAACTGTTGCTATTGTAACCTGTTATGTCAGTAGGTGTTCACCATCGTTGTAGAGAAACTAATGTAAAGAGTGATAGTCTTTGAGCTATCGAATCATAAGTATTGTGAAGACAACACAACAAGCGCAAAGACTCTGGATATACTAAGGTCGAGTCGCTGTCAACGAGACGAAAAAAGTTGCCATAAAAGTGGTAAATGCTCCCGAACATAATTAACCCAAACTTTAGGCGAGTGTTTTTCACAATAACATGGTGTGTTTCATTGTAAACTTTCAATTAGTTTGTCCTTCGCTTCTCTTATCAACGTCTGACAAGTTTGATAGTTAGTTACCTCTCTGTGTTCCATGGTGTTTTCATAAGTGTCCTTGTAGCCTTGCAATGCGCTGAAGGCTAAATCGGCACTTTTGACGGTGTCCCCGAGGATCAAGCATGCCTTGCTGAGCCTCTTCAGTGAATTAGCTCTCTCTATAAATCAATAAAAAAAGCGACAGCCAACAAATAAATCAGTTCAAACAGCTGTTGAAGTCGAGGAGGATACCTTAATTTCAAGACCATCGATTTCGGGTTATCTACGCCCAGTGGTTGATGATATCAAAGTGGTGATGGTCAAAGGAAAATAGTGGAGTTGAAGATGCCCACTAGTTCTAAGAAGCTGCAAGCGACCTGAATGGACCTTGTCACTGTTAGCTTTACTTATTTGCATTACAATGTAATCTAACATGGATGTGAGCCAATTTCGCGCAGAACCAACAAAATTCCCCGAAATTGCTTCACATACTTGTTGGATTATACTGTAATGTAAATGAGAGAATTTTTAAGGAATTCGCAGAGTAGGACATTCTATAATAT